AAAATCTTCTCTGCTCCTGGGTATTAAATAAACTAAGTGCATAGTTATGATGAGCAAGAGTACCTCTACCAAAATTGTGAATTTTATGGCCCCAGGGTCAGGGGTTCTAGTGCTAGGGGGGGGGGGGGCTCGATAGATTATGTAGTTAAAATACATGAATTCTTTCAAAATCTTCTTCTGTGCTCCTGGGTATTAAATAAACTAACTAAGTGCATAGTTATGATGAACAAGAGTGCCTCAACCAAAATTGTGAATTTTATGGCCCCAGGGTCAGGGGTTCTGGTGTTAGGGTGGGGCTCTATTGATTATATAGTGAAAATACAGGAATTCTTTGAAAATCTTCTTCATTGCTCCTGGGTATTAAATAAACGAACTAAGTGCATAATAATGATGAGCAAGAGTGCCTCTACCAAAATTATGAATTTTATGGCCCCAGGGTCAGGGGTTTTGGTGTTAGTGCGGGGCTCTATAGATTATATAGTGAAAATTCATTAAATCTTTAAAAATTTTCTTCTCTGCTCTAGGGTATTAAGCAGATGAACTACCTATATAGTTATTATCTACAAGGGCCCTAATCTTCCAGAATTGTGAATTTCAAGGCCCCAGGGTCAGGGGTAATATGGGGGGGGGGTGTACTTATATACTGAAAATGAATGAATGGTTTGAAATCTGCTCCTTGGTATTAATCAAATATCAAGGCCTAAGGGTCAGGGGTTCATGTGTAGTAGGGGCACTACTGATTATTGCTGAATATAACTGATTAGTTGAAATGCATTTTTTGTTCCCCTACCTTGTGTATGGGTATTGAGTAAACAAACTAAGCAACTGCTAAGTGTATTGTTATGATGAATTAAATTTAATCACTGGAAAGTTGTTGCATAATGCTCAGGTGACCTATAAGGCCCATGGGCCTCTTGTTAAAAACGTTAACTGTGGTCATTACTTTTGAACAGTTAGAACTAGGGCTTTCATATTTCACAGGTGTATTCCTTGTAACAAGACCTTCCTTTGGGTACCAACATCTTTGACCTTGACCTTTGGAGTTTGACATGCATTTAAGAGAATTCAACCACTGGCCATAAGCTACCATACGGGGGCATCAGCGTTTCACAAACACATCTTGTTATTAGTATATATTTATGCTGGAACAAATATTTCAAGGTATAACCAATCTATAAATTATTATTAAAAATATTATATTACAATTATAATTGTTATAAGTTTCTTTAACTCTGCTAATTAGAAATCCAATGATTGTGCATAATTTTCCTTAAAAATAAGTTTGTTCAATTCGAGAAAGAATTAAATTAGTAGTATTAATTAACTTTAAATTACACGTACCACAATGATGACATGGGTTGTTATGTTTAAGTCCTGATAAAGTCATTATAATTTACAATTAATACTATTTCAATTTCAACAATTGCACTGAAATTTCAAGATTTCAAATGGTTATGGTAAAGACTCTCTCCATGGAACACAGGTTCCCGTGTTCCATACCTGGATGGGGTTCTGTGTGCAGTATTAAACACGTACCTCACTTATAGACCGATTCCATATCATGTCTTAATGGGACAGTAGAACCTCCTAGCATTTCCAAAAATGTTCTTTGCCTTAGCTGTGTCTATTCTGTGTGCCCATTCTGCCTTAAAATTTCAAAGGGGCTTCAGAACAAGGAGAGTTGTAGAATTAACCATGTGGTCATTATAAGACATGAATCAAATTTTTTCCAAGAATTGAGAGGTGGTACAGTGGTGCTTTTTATTACACAGAAAACAGAATGTCACTTTTAATTTGTGCATTTATTTAAATTTCAGTGTAATTTATTATACGACAAGTTTTTAAGAGAAGTAAGACATTGGCTGTGCAGGTTTCCTCTGAGATGCCATTTCTGCCCTTCTTTTCAGAGGTAACGAGCATTTTAATACCCTTAAAGTGAAAATGGTGTTACCTTAAAAAGTAGTAGGTGGTGATGTTAATTAAGTAATTATAATCATATATTTAGGCCAACTCCTTTCTTAAGGTGATGTTTTATGGGCATTAAGCAGAAAATTAGCCAGCACTGTTTCTTTGTCTATAGTGTGGTACTTCAAAAAGTTTCTGGTCATAAGTAACATGAAAACTTTGTAATAGAAATTGGACAAAGTGCCAAAGATCTTTTCAGTCTTTTTAAAAAAAGAGAGAATCTGAAAACCATTCCATAATGCATATATGACTTAAATTTACATACTTCTCTTTTTGCTGTAGTACATTTATTTAAGTTGGGGGAAATAAAACTTTTTGACATCTAATCTATTACTAAGCAAAAAAATTGCAAGATGAAAGGCATTTTGCTGATTGAGTTTTATACATGACATATATAAAATTCAAATGGTGCATAAGGTTTTAAGATGATATTTTTTTATCAGTTAAAATATATGTACATTTTTGCACATTATCATATTTTAAGGGAAGGCAGTTTTCATTAACTCTCAAATCAAGAAATTTATTCATTGACCTTAGTAATGTAGGCAGGACTATCTGTGCAATCAAAGACCATAATACAAATGACTTCAGTTTGTCTCATTAAAGCCTCTTCCTCTTCAAATAGCCATGAGGGTATTGCCTTAATTTTTATTGCATTTATAATTTTTACAATTAACATACTTAAGATATAATTGCACAGTTAAAAAACATGGAGAAGTAGAAGGGGATGCATAATTAATTGAATTTACTTTATTTTGAAAATTTTTAATTGCTGAGAAATAAAGTCGGTCATTATTAATACCATCTCTGTCACATGTCGTGTATTTAAGCCATCAATTTATCCACCATTCGACAATCTAGTGCGCAATAACAAAGATTTTTTTATGTGCTATCTAATTTTTATAGAATTGTTACTGGTGTATAAAGAGTGTTCATGTTAAGTCTGTCACTTTGTCAACCTTTTGTAGACTTGTTACTTTCTCAGGTTTCCACATCAACAACTGTGAGCATATGTGAATTTGCTTTATAGCACAATTCCACTAATAGTTTGGAAGTTAGGTGGGGGTGTTCATACCCAAAAGATCACACCAGAGCAGGCTAGTACAGTAAAATGTGTTAGTATGAACATGGATATTGCAAATTCAGGGATATTGCGAAGTTATCTTCGATCCCTAGCTATAAAAATTCGACAAACTCTTTGTACGGATATAACGAATTACGGATATAACGAAGTAATTTCATAGGTCCCAGTGACTTCCTTGTAACCGAGTTTTACTGTGTTCAACAGAGAACGAAGTTGAGAGATTTTATGGCATGTATTCAGTGTATAAGATATTTTGAGCTCCCCTGAGCTGATACCTCAAACAAACTTTTCTAATCACATTTTTACCATTGTCTCCTAATGTTTTCACATCTTTGACTTCTGTTCACAAACCATCTGCACTGGACCAATTTCAACCAGAAATGCCATAAGGGGTCCTTAGGAAAATTAAGCTTTCAAAGCTTGATTTAATACATAGCATAGATTCAGGTTTGTTCAAACTGTGTCCCCCAGGGGTAGGGTAGGGCCACAAACAGCATTGAAAGTTTTATTACATATAAATATCTAGGAAAAATCTCTAAAAATCTTTTTAAGAATGGCAAACCTATGATTAATAATTTTAATTTGAAAGTACTATTCTGAAGTAGTATGCAATTGCCTTATTTAATAAAGTTGAGCAGGACTGGGCACTGCCAGGGAAATCTTACCTGCTTTGGGAACATCTGTGAGTACGTTTCGTTAAAATTAATTTGCATGTTTTAATTTAATTGTACTCACTCTAACTCTTATGTCAAACCTTTAAATCTCAAGGTCAAATATGGTTACCATTAAAATTAAGTCACATAGTGTGAAATGAAGTCTTAATAGTGACCTAGGTATGGTTAAAAAAAATGACATTACTGTGTCTTATTGAACATGAGAATAATGTACTTTTTAAACTGAATAAGTCTTTTTTCCTGAGTATGCGGTAACATATATTGTAACACTACGATGAATTGTGCTTCTTAATATATAATCTCTTTTTTCTTCCTTTTGAAATTACTGCATTTTTTTATTTTTAAAAAGAAAATTCCGTGATTTGCTATAGTTATTGATTAATTGTATGGTGATAGTAAGAATCTAGTAGCACCTTGATAATAGTCCAGAGAACAATGTGATTAGTACTGGTTGTCGTGGCCACTGACCCTCACTGTAACAGTACTAGGTGTGAATCTACCAGGTTACTGTGAACTGAGATTTTTAATAACTCTGTGCAGAATTCCTACATTTTATGACAACTATTGGGTTTTTCCCCCATCAGATTATGTCTTGTCATTGCATTGGTGTTGACACAAAAATGAAAAAAAAATGCTCTTATTGAACTTAATTTTGAAAAATTATAACTATAAAAATTTCTTGTACTTACTTTCTTATCCTTTTTTCTTTCCCTTGATCTAGTTCAATTGAATTTTTTTCTATTTATAATTATGTTATTGAGTGTGTTATACAGTAAAACACACATAACAAAGTGCCAAAGAGGGAGGATTTTGCTTCTTTGTAAGCATAATTCATTAAGAAATATATTTTACTGTATGTTGTTTAAATACCCCCCAAAAAAATCAGATGACAAAAAAAAAATCTTTAAAAAGGCCAACCATGTGTTAATTATTTTAAAAAAAAAAGATGGAATTAAAATTCTGTTTTATATAAGATTGCACTGTGGAAAGAAGGATGAAGAGACTGAAAATTGTTACAGTGTGGAAATGGAACTAAAAATAAAGTTGTATATCAAAAGACAAGAATGAAGCCTTAACTCCATTTGGGTTATGGCCTTGGGGTTCAACAACCCTACTCGGCTTGCATATGTATTACATCTATTGATGTGCGTTGCATATGCCAGTGTTGGATGCAGTTTTTAAGCTGAGAAATGCATGCTGAGTTGGAACATAAAAAGTGTTAAACTGTTAACCTCTTCATATCAAAGTATAGATTTTTTTTTTCTCCAGAAAATTGTGTACACTGCAAGCAGAAGATGCAAGTGGAATTTGATTATACTCGAGATTGTTTTTATTGTAGCATATGGATTTTTTCTTTGGAAAATTCTCGGAAACATTTGTGAAGGAATTTGGAGGCTCTTCGCTGATGTATTAAGCTAGGGTTTGTACAAGATTTAGGCAGTCTCTAGCTCTCTCTCTCCTCTCTCTGTACAATTGTGTTTACCTTATATGATAGAAAACTGCATGCAACTGTTAGATTATATAAGAATTCCATTGAATGTGTAGGTATTAATGAAAAAAATTGTATAAAGCGTGGGTGTTCAATGTGTTTTGCTTGAAGTGATAAACCATAATTTAAACAGGGAACGGTCTTATTACTGTTAGAAGTGAAAATGTGATGTATTTGCATGCTTTTTAAGGGAAAGTACTCTTGCTTTGATGCTTTTTCTTAATGGTTTGAAAAAGTGTTCTTTTGTTGGTTAGTTTGCTGCACAGATCTCAAAATGAGTCAGTTTTATGTGCTAGATAATTAATTTCTAAAGATACCTTCCATCTGGGTAGTTTAAATGTTTTGAGGTGTAAGCTGTTTTCCTGGCAAATAGAGTTTAACCCATATGTTGGAAATAATCTGGCACCAAGATTTTTAATCAGTTTTTATTCAGAATAAACAATGACAGTTTCTTCCTGTTCAAAATGCAGTATCTCAACAAATGTTTGCACATCTTTTTTTTTTTTTTTTAAATAGATAAAGATAAAACTTCCTTTTTTTCATTCCTCTGTTAATTTATTTCTCAAAAATATACATCAATACTTCTATGTAATTTTTTTTTGAAAATGAGCATTATTTTTACCTGTGGTAAGTGTGGTTTTTTTTTTTCTTTTTTTCACCACATCTTTAAATTGGGGACCTAATTTCTCATTTGGGAATTTTTCTCCCATGGCAGTTATATATATGTTCTCTTAAGCATTTATTAATTATTGGTTTGAGTATAAGTATTTTTTTGGTTTTTTAGTATTATACTATATTAGCTTTGAATAACCATTGCACTTGAACATGTGGTGATTCTAACTTTTAGCCGTGAGAGGGAGTACAGTATATGAATTAGACTACCAAATTAGCCTGGCCTTATTCCTGCTCTACCTGTGTGCACATAATTCATTTGCAGTTTAATGTAATTCACATAGATAGGTATGGATTTATAGCTCTGTGCACTGCCAGGTAAACAGAGCGATAAGGTGTGTTCTTTTGTTAAAATTCCATTCTTGTCTTGCAGGTAGGAAGGATTTAAATGACCACATTATGAAAGAGCAACGCAATGTACAGCACACGGGCAGCTCCAAAGGCCAGGATTGATTTTTAACTATTTACAATCTCTCTTGCGTCCACTCAAAAAAAAAGGAAGAGAGGGGGGAAAATTGGCATTCGCCTTCATCCAGTCCATAGGAAAGACGTCCTTCTCACTGGAAATGGTGTTATGGTATGGATATTTTTAGACTGACTAGTGACAAGTATGTGTCACAACCTAAGTGTATAGGTAAAAAAGAATGGAGAGACATTTAGAGGAAGTTGTAGGAAATCAGATTCAATGACTGGGATAGGAGTTTGTTTTTAGTGAATGTGCACCCAGGTGTATCAGTTTACTATAAACAGTGCTTGCTACGTCATCCCTCTTAAAAACTTCAACTGTTCACTTTAATAGTAGATATGTGTGTAAGTGGCATGTGCTGTGTACAGTGAATTAATAGAGAACTGGACAGGCCTTTTTACAGAACTATGTAACAGGGGGCTGAGTGTTTACACATCACAGTGGTTCAGAATAAACCGGGGGAGTTATTGACAACCTGTATGCAAGTGACACAGAAAACGACCCAACAACATGCTTCAGTGCAATTCATATGCAATCGCCTTTCATTGATGAAATAAGCAGATCAATCACAGAGGAAGGGGGCCAGCCTGAGAGATAAGCCACTCAGTATGACAGAGCAGTAAGGGAGATAGGCAAAAAGAGTGGTCACCTCACACCAGAATGACCAGAAGGGCCAAGAAGAACTGGACACCAATGTCCTTGAAGGTTTATTTGGACAGAAGGATGTGGATACATTTTACTAGTCACTCACACAGGTAATTACAAAAAAATGTAGGTTTAAAAGTGAAGGGCTAAAAACAAGTATGAATGCCATTTGTAAAGACATTTAACTTATTACAAGACTTATAAAAGAAAAAAATCTTGGATATAAATGAGATTAAATAGAGAATATAATGTATTAGCAATGAAGTTAAATATAGATTTTTTTTTTATTATGATTAAGGATTTAAAGTCAGGTGTGTGTGTGTAAATGCAGTGCACTATAAGCTATTTAGGTCACCTCTTATCTTGCATATATACACCTACTATAGTGCTGCAATGTACAGGGGGCACTAAACAGGAAATTTATCATTCAACTTAGATAAAGGATTTTTAAAAATCAATGAAATATGCTGTGAACTGGTTCATTTTTACCCATGGATGATGACAATTTCACTTCTCTCCCTAAAAAAGGGTGAAAATCTTTCATTTCTTGTGTTTCTTGAAAATCACATTTTTTTTTATCAACCATTTAAAAAAAAAATGGCAGAGAAAAATGTAGATGAAAAACACAATATTTAGTGCTGTTCTACTGTGCCTCTGGTGTGCAGTATAAAATGGGGAAAAAAATCAATAAGACATCTTCTCACAGTAGCCTCTGAACATTGATTAAATAAAAACTAGAAAATCTATTATCTTGCTGTAATTTGACATGCAACAAGGTGTTTGAATCGTGGCTTTAGACTAGCTGTCAATGGGAACTTGTACTCTCCTGTATTGTATTACAATAACTGTGGAGTACTCACACATAGTCTAAAAATAAACCTAGAAATAGTAGCCTTCAAGAATTCTGTGATTTTGAGAATCAATGACTGTTTTGTTCTGTTTTTATGCTTGGGTTGCATGTTCATGCACATCAATAGCATGATATTTATGTTAGGATGGAAATGTTTAAAATGGCAAATTAAGATCATTAGGCAGTTTTGAAAGCCATTTAAATTACCTTTAAAATGGAATGTTAAAAAGAACATTTATTGCCTTTTTTGGTATCTTCTGTTGATCAGTAGTTGCATTATATTTTCTTTAGAAAACAAAAACATATATATCAGAGGCCTAGTCCACTGACAGAGCTGATTAAATTTACATCTCCTCTGATCTGGAAATATTCATGTACATGTGTGGTTGAAGTGCACATATTGGACAGGAAAAAACAACTTACGCAGTTTTACGTGAATGGAGTGGGAGAGCGATATCTGCATTGATTGCTTGACTGATCATAACCCGAAAAAGCTACGCTGAGTTAATTGCTTGTTGCGTACATTAAAATTTTTGTTCTATATGAGTGCAGCAAAATATTTATCTAGAGATGAAAACATTTCTTTTGAATTTCTTGGCTTGAATTCAATATAATCTCCAGGGGCCGTGGAAGGGATTTCCGTGCACATTTTTTTGCAGTCGTAGGCCTTGTGACTGTATACAGTCACTGGCCATGTGAATTTCCTTTCACTGGCAGTTATATAGGTCAGGGGTTTGCATAATTGCACCTTTTATAAAGAGGCCCTTATGAGATTAAGATTATTGTGGAAACCCAGTGATGCACAAGCCTTGTTTAAATAATAGTTTGTTTTTTGTTAGATCAAATTCCCTGCACAGCTTCATTCATAGATGCGCCTGATAGTAAAGGAAAGAAGTATGTTTAAAACAATCCTGGGCTGGCGTTTTTTTTTTAGGAGTAGGTAATGGGGTGAAACCTACGTGCCACGTACCCTATGCCAATTCCAGAGAACAAATATCTTTTTAAAAATGTTTTCTCCTCTCTTATCTTTAAAATTTTAAGATGAGTTTAATAATGGGATATGTATAACTTTACAGTTTTTTTCTATGCTTCATTCTTGTTGGAATTCAACTTTTTAACCATTTATATACTCTACCACTGATATACAGGATTTTATCATACAATCGGTTAATGCGACAAAGAAAAAAGTTATTTATTAAAAATTACAAGACATTGGAAAATTGATTTTAGGGATTCATCTAAATTTATCATTTATCGTTTAAATGTTGGAAAGGGTAACAATCATGACATATATAAAATTTATTTTTGTACTCCTATTATTGAAGATGCAGGGGCATATTTGGTCTGCCTCTCAATTTGTATGTTTTAAATCTGTTAGTTGGCAAAAACTTCTGAATAGTTTGTGTCGGGGTTCTGATATTTCAATTGTCATTTTGGCAAGACCTTTCTTTTGGAACTGATATATTCTACCTTTTGACCTTGACTTTGGAGTTTCTCTACTTTTAAAAATTTTACCAAACTTAATTTGGCCATTCACTTTTGACCTCTGGTGTAATGGCCTTTAAATTTCATATGTGTACCGGTATTCCATGTGACCAGACCTTTCTTTGGATACCAACATTTTTTACCTCATGACCATTGTGTTTGGCTTACTTTTGTTAAAATGTTACCGTAGTAAACTTTAAAACTTTAAAATGGTGCTAAGGCTCTCAGTGTCATATATTACCTACTTATAAAATGGTGCTAGGGCACTCGTATATTACCCTTTTTTTTTTACTTGTAATAAGACGTTCCTGTGGGTACCAGCACATTTGACCTTTTTTTCTTGACCTTTGAGTTTTGACATAATGTACATTTGAAAATTATGTAAATTGACTGGAAGTTTTAAACAGTTGGTGCTATGACATTCAAATTTTCTATTAATGTACTTCCTGTTACAAGACCTTTTCTTTAATGGTACCAAAAATTTTTGACCTCATGACCTTTGAGTATGACCTTCTTTTGAAAAACCAACCATAAGCAATATTTTATGAATAATTGGAGTTATGACATACATATTTCACACATGTACAAATGTATTTTTTGTGATGAGACCTTTCTTTGGGTACAGATTTTTTTAATTGACCTTGAAGCACTACACTCCAGTTCATTTGAAAAAAATAACTTTGACCTTGAACTACCATACAGGTGCAGCATTGTTTTAAAAACTGATAACACACCTTTCCTTGCTAATTTTATTGTTCTATAAAAATATTTTCCAATACTTAATTATCCATTTTTCCTGCAGTAATTGACATTTGTTCTATTTTTAAAATAAGGATCAACAATTTGAATGCCAAATTGAAAAATCGGGAAATTCTTGCATTTATTCAAAAAAGGAATACATGCAAGATACAAATCATCTACCCAGCTGCATCATTCAGTCACTGTAAAATATGGCACTACATATTTCACTCCCAGTGGTGCCATTTTCATTAGTTCCTGTATGGATCCAACCAACTGAAAACTTGGGTGGAATTTTGCAAAGGGACTACATGCACAAATATATGTGAATGATGTACTGTGTTTAGTTTGAATGCATGAGGTTAGGATGAAGTTGTTTTGAAATTTCAACAGATTTTATTGGCATGTAGTCCTTAAACCTTTAAAACTAATTTTGATTGGAGGAAATCATGCCAATGAATGGCCTGACCTTAAAAATGCTGTTAGTCGATGAGAACAATTGGTTGAATTTTGATATGTATCAAAAAAGTAAAAAAAAAAAAAAAAAAAAAAAAAACCAGAGGAAAAATTGTCAAGTATTTCTTTTAGTATCTTTATGCAGATAAATCTTAATTAAAAATGAACACCAAATATGGGGAGCAATTATTCTGCACCTTTGCATGCTTTATGGTACATAAATTTGATCCTTCGTTTGCATTGTAATTGCATCCTACACATAAATCACATAAAATTTAAGATTTCCTCAAATGTTTTTCATCTAAATCATGGCCCTAAATAGTCTTACTCTATCTTGAATAAATACATTAATTTGTGACAAATAAAAAGTTTCAAGTGACTTTACATAATCAATAATATGACCTTTAACTTTCTGCACTCACAAAATGTCATTTTTCCAACAATAAATTTGTAACAAGCAGTAGAGCTATTTTCTAGGTCTTAAAAGCTCTAATTGGCTCATGCTGCACAGGATGGTCATCTTCTATATTCAGAAATAAAATTAAAAGAGCTTATATGTGATAATTTGTTTTAAATATTACTTAAATTACTACAGGATGGTCCATCTTCTATATTCAGAAATAAAATCAAAAGAGCTTATGTGTGATAATTTGTTTTAAATATTACTTAAATTACTTATAAAATTATTGTACTTTTTAAGTAAAAATTGGGTTCAAGATTTAAATTCATAATACTTTACATCTGTTTTATAATTATAAAGACCAGCATAAAAAAGGACTTCTATGGCACAAAATAACTCGATCTAATTGTCCAGCCTACATGGAAAAAATGGGAATCTAAACATAAGATTAGTGTAAATATATACTAAAAAAGAGGAAATAAATGATCAATTTTTTAAAATGTCATTTAACCACAATATATGTTTCTTCGCTGAATGTGTTTTGTATAAAATTTAAGCATTTTTTTTCAATGAATATAGTTTAATTGGTGTTGTCGAGTCCATGCAAATTTAAATTGATAGAAGATAGAATGAATGAATGAGTCTTAATTCTTAGGACTGTCTGATTTAGGTTATTTAGTTTGAGCTTTCTTTCAAAAACAATTAAGTGCCATATCCTTAAATTATAAGTGCAAAAACAATTGTGATAAAGTGACCGAAATGGGAACAAAGTGCCCAAGGTTGCAGCAAAAGGTTTCCTTCCCTCCCCCTCCCCCCTCCCAAAGTCTTTAGGAAATGTGAAACAAAACTTCCTAAATCCTACTTTGTGCTTAATTGTGCATCTAAATGCTCTAAAGGCAACCTGTTTTTCTGCAACTTTAGTTTTGCGACTCTGCTTTTCCATGACTACTCCATTTACTGCTTTTAAGTCATGAAAAAATTCTTATGATAAGTGATCTAAGTTTGGCCATTGACTATATGTCTTAATGATTAAGTACTTTGAAATCATATCTAGTGTAATCTAAATGTCCTTGTGTACATGAAGTGGTAGATTTAAAAATGTGGCCAGCATATTTTGAAGCCATTTAGCAGATGATGATCTATAGTTTTGTGATACACAGAAAGAAAGTATGTTACATATG